AGAAGGATACACATGTNTGAACCTCTAAGGAAATTAATATTCAACTTTTTAATACAAACTATTTGTTCCTCTGAATGAAATAGCCCATTGCCATGATGAAGGTTGTGCAACCCAGAAAAAAAAACTGGTGAGGCAAGCACCACAACCAAACGAAAACGGGTTCGGGCCATGGATGAGGTGCGGACAGTTGTCAGTGGTGGTGCCTCGGCCGAACAGTTCCAGGATGCGATGAAGGCCATGCCAAAGGCACAACTCCTAGAGATGTTTCACGACTTGGGCCTGAATCAAGTCAGGATACCAAATGGTCACCTGTTGGCGGCAAAACTAGTAGACTGTGGTTTCAACTATAACCAGATTAGAAAGCTGCGCAGGTTTGTATTTTTCATATCATTGCCTTGTATACAAGTTATTGTTCCATTCCAATGTGCTTGTGTAACTCACACATAAAACATAATGTTTAAACTTGCTAAGGATGCCTGATGGTTATTTCTCACAGATGGCTAAAGAAGTACGGAGTGGCAGTAGAGTCGGAGAGTATCAAGGCAGGTGGCAAAGAGCCTACTGTCCAACATAACCATCCATGCCGAGTGCCTACCCTTCACTGTTAAGACCCCCAATGGCACAAAGGTAGATTTGCTGCCATGTGCGTATTTGGAGAGTCTTAACAGCGCCATCTTGGACAACTTGTCCCGGGCCTCAAGCTCAGGGTAAGAATACTACCTAACTACCTGAAATTTCCTTTTCTTTGCTCATATATTTCAATTTGTGTGCTTGACTTTAAACTAGCAACTTTATCGCCATTCATTTCTCTTTATTAGAAAACTGACTTGGCATGAGGACAAGATTAGTGAGGAGGAGGTCTGGATCAAGATTTTGGGGGACCATGGTCGTGGATCCTTCAAATGGCGTTTCAGCCGCTGAACAAGCTTCACCCGAACCCAAAGTCAAACACTGTTGTTTGCTGTGTGTTCGAGGCCAAGGACAACCGGGAAAACGTCATTACAGGGACGAAGCGCTTTGCACCTGAGATCAAGGAGCTTCAAGTGACGAAGTGGAAGTAAGTTGCCAGCTTGCTACTAAATAGATATAGACCATGTAAGAACTAAGATGATGATTTAAAATAAATAATATGCGCAATATATATATATATCAAGTACTTACAAATGTGTCTCATCTTCCTGGCTTTTAGATCACCGGACGATACATCATACTCCATCAGGGTGTTTGCAGCATCAGACTATGCCTTGTTGTCCTTGTGGTATGGCATCTCAGGAGCCTGTGGTGAGAAATTATAATTAATAATTCTCATTGTCCCTTTTCTTCTTTGTTTACAATGCTATTAGTATTAAAAGTATTCTTCTGACCCTACAATGTTATCATCCTGTGCTTCAGGTGTCCATTCCTGTCTCTGGTGTGAAGAGACAAAAAGCAGAATCCAACTGCCAAAGTCAGAAAGGCAAACATGTCCTAAACGGACATTAGAGAGTTTGTCCTCTGATTACAATAGTTTCCTGGAAGAGGGGCAAGGAAACATCAAGAAGGCCAAGAATTTCAAGAATGTCATTGCTCCCCCAATGTTTGAGATTCCTCTGAATCAGGTATGATGAGTACAACATTCTACTATATAAGTGTTGCTTTCATTTGAAATAAAACATTAATTTCAAAGTTAGATGTACAAAATGGCATGTTACTTTAACATGAAGCCAAGAAGAGGGGGGGGTGTCATTAATATGTGTGTGTTTCCTGCAGGTATGTGTTCCTGGCCTTCACATCAGTTTAGGACTGTGTCACAAGTTCTTCAAGATGTTGGAGGCAGACCTTCAGGATATAGATCTTATACTGGCTTCTCACCTCGCAATGCACATACTTCCGGATGACGAAGTGGACCCTGCTGAAGTCATGATGGACCCCAATCTGCATGGCTTGGATATAGTAGATAGAAAGCTTGCTATGTTAAATAAATATGAAAGAAAGTTGTGCAGTTTCCTAGCCTTACCCAGACACACGGGTTCTGATCCCATCTATGTGCTGTTGCGCACGTTGCAGTAGTAAAATCCGTCGTACCAGATTTGAGGTCCCACCAACATGTCGGCATCCGCGGGGCAGGTCACGGTACACCGGCCCTGTCGATGTTCGTAGTGAGAGCTGTAGTTGTAGTCACAGCTCACGGTGACGCCATCAGTGTCCCACGGGAAGTCGCCACAGGGTAGCCAGTCTATAGCTAGGTACAGGTAGTAAAGATGTTGAAGTCTGGTGTGTTACGCCGAAAGGCGGTTATACCGGCTATACAGATACAGATACAGAAGTCAGATAAAACGGACTTCTGATGTTGGGCCGCTCAACCAGAGACCAAGACTTCACATATACATATACGCACTACAAGTATAGAAATATAGAGTATAGAAATGTAATAGTACATTGAGTCTATCTCATGGGTAGCTTCCTTCCGTGTTACAAGGAACAACCAATCCTTACAATCGGTTTTCTCACCTGGTGCTGTTGTTGTACGATCAAAGGGTGTTGTCCAGCCGGACACCATCGGCAGGGCCGCACACACGGCAATCAGCAGCAACAACATTCTCAACTGGGCCGGATTCTCAACAGAACAAGATTCTCATCTGCAGCAAGCTAAGATATTCTCCCAGTGGGAGCGAAAACTTTCCGGCTACACTAGTGCCGAGAGAACAGCGGCGCGGGTTTATATCCTAAACTCAGAGACGGCAAATGTCAGACCTTATCTAATCATTGAATAATGAACAGTCTGAAGCGTTTGTGGAGAATTGAGTTACCGGTATTTGAAACTGGGGCAATTTCCGAAAGCTACTCTGTTCCCATGATGGACTCCTGACTGCGATTTTTAACAGATTTTTAATTTCGGAGATTTGAAGGACAATCACCAAGTTATGGAGAATGATCCAAATGACCTAATAAACTCAGATAAAAAGTAAGAGTAATATATGTATCGACAACAAGGAAAAGAAAATATATACTTAATCTGTGAACATTTTTCATCATGCTAATTACTAAATTACGACCCTTTCCCATATGTATAATAATTATCAATATACAATAGTGTTAGTACAGATAGACGCTCACTTCATCGTTTCTTATTTCGTATCAGCTGATGCACCTACCGACTGTTCCAATAACTGCAGCTGCAGAGATCTGATTGTGACGTCGATGCTACAAAAATGTCGCTGTCCATCAAACCACCGCAGGATTATTCTCTTTTGGCGGGAGGCGGGCAAAACCAACGAACTGGGTAGCCTGGGTACCATCCTGGTTAGTTAGCTTATGCCACAGCAAGTAATTTTTGTGGATGACTTCAGCGCGCGCATTAATTTTCGCCTGGTTTTGGGGGAAAAAACAAGATATTTTGTTGCCTTCTGACAGTGGCCACCATGCCGACGTCTGTTGCTATGCCAGAAGGTCTATGGCAGATAACTATGAAGAGAGGAGACAAGAAAAGGCTCTGATTTAATGTTTTATTTCTTACTTTGATGCAGTGATATGTGATGCTAGTTGTGTATATGTCATGTTCCTAATGAATCAAAACCATTTGTACAATGATTGAGTCAAAATTTTAAAATGGAGGAACCTTGTTTTTTTCGGCCCGCCTTGTTTTTTTTCGCCCGCTCGCATTAGATTTGGAGTCTGCGGAGGATGTCATCGATAAAATTTACTTGCTGTGGCCTTAGTAAAATAACCGGGTTGGTACCTAGGCTACAAACTGTGCGCAGTGATGAAATATACCAGGCCCGGTTCGAGTGACCTACTTATAAACGTACGACGAAAACGCGCACATTACTATTAGCAGCTGTGCGTCCCCACCGGTTCAAAAGTCGTTTGTCAAATATCTGTGATAAACGTGTGATGGATAAATCCGGGAGACGCGATATCCTGGCGTAGCTACTATCTCTTATTGCATCGTAATCATCCAATAAGGTAAAACACGGATAAGCTGATATTCATTAGCGCAAATTACTCAATTATTGCCGGCAATGCCAGGAGATACGCCTTTACGATGTCATTTCTGGCTTCCAACATTTAAGATAAAGAGTATGACAAAAGGGTATGGTGAAACCCTACCTAGTGTCAGATGTATCAGTGTTGTATTGTCTATATCAAAATAAACAAAATGAAACCACTCGGACGCGAGTCAATGATGAGAACTACGCTCTGACCTGCGAGCAAGCGACAAGCGAAGATACTGAGGCACAAAATAAATCAGTAGAGACCCTTCATTACCTCCATGAAAAATGGAGGTATTGTTTTTGGCGTGTCTGTCTGTATGTATGTCTGTGTGTGTGTCTGTCTGTCTGTGTGTGTGTGTCTGTGTGTGCTTCCGCAACTTTGTAGTCAGCATAACTTCAGAACGCCTTTATGGATTGTGATGATATTTGGTATGATGGTAAGTCTTGGAAAGACAAAGGTCAAGGTCAAGGTCAAGTATGGGCCTCCTGGTGGATGACCTTGGTACTGCAGCAGAACTTCCGGTTTTTGTATCTTTTGTCCTGAACAAGCTATGGTCTTGACTTTTTGGTGACAGATAGCTTATCTGGAATAAGTGGCGTAAGTTTGGTCCCCCTAGCAGCTTGTTCTGGAACTGCAGGTTAGTTTCTGGTAAAAACCTTTAAAGCCAATAAGTCCAGATAGGAACAACATATTTTCATAATTTTTAATGTGTAGGTAGCTGAGAGAGATGTACATAATTAAATGCAAACTATGCAAATGAGGACTTTATTTGCATAATTAATGAGGGAATTCTATAATTACAATGTTTTACATTATACTACTTTCATACATGTAATGTATGTAACCAATGGCAGGCGGAACATCAACAGATACTAATTATGCCAATGATGACCTAATTTGCATAATTAATGCGAAAATTCTATGATTTCTTAATGGTGAATGATGGGAATGTCATACTTGGGACATCTGTCAGTTAATCAAAAGTTAACATACATCACGATGCATATATCATGTTAATGCAGAGGTCATTTGCATAATTAAAGAAGAAATTTACATTTACATATCAAGCCCATATTTCATGGAGGTATGAGATCTCGGAATTCTTGTTGGTTAGTGTTTTAATCAGTATTGGAGGCACATATGTAAGTGTGTGTGTGTGTGTGTGTGTGTGTGTGTGTGTGTTTGTGTGTGTGTGTGTAGGGGGGGTCCCCTACTCAGTCGGTGTTTTCCAACACCCTGTACCCAGACTGCCTGCCTTCCCGGCGTGCCTTGTACAGGATACCCAGACCAAACATGGCTGCGGCCAGCAACATCGCGCACGCGCCAATGATGGCAGAAACCGTGACCAGGTCCTGGGTTTTGCGCCCTGTAGACAGTGGAAACGAGTATTTAGGAAAATAAACAAAATATTTGTTCACTAAATACGATAATGTAGGCCATGCTTGATACACAAATATTCTAACGCAAGCCTTGCGTTATTTTATCGCTATTTCCTCGGTAAATGCTCCGCGGAACTTCACTCGCTAGTGCTTCCACCTCGTACATTCTCAGCAAGGACACGTCTTGCCACTTCCACAGAAGCAAATCACCCTTTCTTTTTCCATTCACCGTTCCACGCAGAAAGCTTATTTCCTAGAACAACATCACTATGGAACAAGCTACCATGTGATTGTTTCCCACAGGGGTACAACCTTAAACTTCTCAAATCTAAGGTCAACAAATATCTGTCCTCACTGGCTGTACAGTAACCCACAACATTTAAGTTGGTCCCATGAGCCTTGTTTTGTGGTGACCTATAAACTAAATCTTAAAAATCGTCTTACGCTGACTTTTTAAACAAAACAAACACGACCAACATTTTTGCAATTTTGCACTTACCAGTTTGGTCGTCCCCGAGCACGATGGGTCCCTGGATGAGCCGGTAGACCTCGGGTTCGGCCTCCCTCCGCCTCCTGCCCGAGGGCGTCTGGCAGCCCTGCGCGCAGCGGGAGTTCGGGTCCAAGGCCTTACACAGCAGAACGTCACAGTGCAGGTACACCTGGGAAGGAACCAGGGCAAATGTACGTCTTGCCTCATCTCCAAGCAGCTACTACGGTTTGCATTAGTCCCGGTTGCTACCTAGAGTAGAGTGACTCTTAGCCACTTTGGGGATCTGATAGCCAGTCTCCCGTGATCCTAACGCCGGTCTTGTCAGCCAGCCTGACGTTTTTTTGCCCCCTACGCAGCTTTGCAGGCTTGGGGAGCCCGCCTAAATTTCCGCAGTACTTCATATATATCGTTGCACTGCTTAATGGCTAATTGTACCAATGGCAATGCAATAGACCTGTCGTATCTTTGCACAATTGTGGGCATTGGCCATATATATATAGCAGTCATCTGACTGCTATGGAACTTTGTAGCTTTTTTATTCGCACGTATTGTGCTTGAAACACCCAAAAACATTGATGGTCTTATAAGAAAAACACATTTTAAAGTGCACATTACCGTAGGAACGCCGGTGGTGTAGGCAAATGCCTGGAAGCCGAAGCGCCCCCTGTCCGGACCGGGCGACGGGTAGAACTGCAGCGTCGGCAGCTTGGCGCAACTGGGAAGAAAGAACAATGAGTCTGACAATGAAAACATACATTGCCATGGCGACGGTGGTTATTGTTAGGGTTATTGTTTGCAATAACACTGTCATGATTTCATGATTTTGGGAAGCCTTTTCTTGTGATCTGTTATGAGTTTGCGAACCCCGGGGCTCGTTCACTATGCATTCCCCCCTAAGGCGTGGCCAAAAACTTAAGACCTGTATCTTTATCTGTATAGCCGGTATAAACATCTCATTTGATGGGTAACTGTTTGTAGCGGAAGTAAATTTCTAGGTTTTTCCTGAGAACAAAAAAACTGTTTGTTTACGTGGTATTAAACAACGGTGGCACTCACCCGTCGATTATGACGTCATTCCGTGTCCTGTCGCTAGGGTCGTCGCTAGGCGTGGCCACGCAGGTGTGAGGGAACACCTGAAGGTAGGCGTCACTAGATTTCACCTGGATCTGCACGTGGATCATCTGGAACACAGCGGTCACGGTCATTGCTATTGTATGATAACTAAAACACTGTCAATGATGGCAATCTTTGAAGAACATGAGGACAAATAAGACATTCTTGTTCTCTCCTAAGACATGAAAACGTAAAAGAGGACAAGGCAAGCAGTTAGAGGCAAACTCTATTTCTGACAAACAGGACATTGGTTTTTGATAGGCAGTGTTTTATAAGTAACCTATTTCCAATCTACATTGAGACTCGCGACCTGAGTGGTGGACGATACCGACTTCCACCATATTTGGTCACGTTAGGCAAGGTCCTGCGAATGACACTCAAGTCTAGACCAATTTGCTGTAACACACAAACACCGGATATTCCGGACTAACCTGTTTTAACACAGAAACACCGGACATTCCGGACTAACCTGTTGTAACACACAAACACCGGACATTCCGGACTAACCTGTTGGAACACACAAACAACCGGACATTCCGGACT